ACTCAGTTTGTAATTCCAGAGCCATGGAATTGAGGGAGTTAAATCTCCTCTGGAGCTCAGTTCATAATTCCAGACCCATGGAATTGAGGGAATTAAATATTTTCTGGAGCTCAGTGAATAATTCCAGAGCTGTGGAATTTGGGGAGTTAAAACTCAGTAATTCCAGAGCTGTGAAATTTGGGGAGTTAAATCTCCTCTGAAACGCAATAATTCCAGAGCCATGGAATTGAGGGAGTTAAATCTCTGGAGCTTAGTTCGTAATTCCAGAGCCATGGAACTGGGGGAGTTAAATCTCCTCTGGAGCTCAGTTAATTCCAGAGCCGTGGAATTTGGGGAGCAAAATCTCTGGAGCTCCGTTCATAATTCCAGCTGTAATTTCTTTCCACTCTCTGCTTCATTCCCTTTTTCCCTGGAATTCTCCCCCTCTTGCAGCTCCAGCCACGTCAGGGCTGAGCTAAACCCAGGATCCTTTGGCCAGAGCTTTGAGCTGGAATTTTCCCGGCGCGTTTCCCGGGAGCTGTGCCCGGGCAGATGCCGGGATTCGGGATTTGGGATTCGCTCCGGAGCGGGGCGGGCTGGGGAGGGGGAGCGGGATGTGCTGCTGGAGGAAGTGACATCCCTGCTCCCGAGCCTTCCGTGCTGCTGCATGGCAGGAGCCTTGGAATCCAGCAGCCCGGCTGCCTTGGGAAGCACAGCCTTGGATAAGAGGATTTGAGGGATAAAGGAGGCAAACACCCCGCTCCGGAGGCTCCGCCAGATCCTTAAGCACTTCAATCTTCCCTTTTTTCCTCCCTCTCTCCACATCCCCGCAGGAACACGGAGCTGGAGACCGCTTGAAACCTCCCGAGGGATCTATTTTGGAAGTTGGAAAACCTGGAGATGCGTTAGAATTCCCAGCCCTCCTTTTCCTAAGGTAAGAGAGGAGCCCCTTCTCCCCGTTCCCGGCTTTAATCCCTGTGTGTTTGGGGCGAGCTGGAATTCCTGGCCGTGATTCCAGCTTCTCCCTAAAGGGTTAATGTTGATCCCGTGGAAGAACTCGCAGCTGCAGCTGCACATGGCTCTGCTTCCAGGAGTGTCGGGATAACGGGAAGCGGGAGCTCCTCCAGCTCAGGGGGGGTTGGGGCTTTCCAGCCTAAATCCTGGATTTCCAGAGCTTTTCCTTCGCCCTCCTCGGACCTGTGAGTAACTCCTGCAGCATTCCGGGCTTGGGATGAGCTGGAGGAGGTGAAACCTCACCTTGGAGAGGTGGGAAGTGCGGAATTCCCTCCGTTTTGGGAGCTGGAGCTGTGTTTCCATGGTATCCATGAGTGACTCCGGTGGGAGGGCTCGGAGGCATCAATGGGAATTATCCTGGGCTCGGGAGAACAGGTCTGGGATTGTTTGATGTGGGAAAGATGGTAATTCCCTTCCTTTGCATGTGGGATCTCATTATCCATGATTAAGCATGGAAAAGGCTGGATTGAACCTGTTGTACTTGCAGGGAGGCTTTGGGATACTGGAAAATCCAGGGATTAAACTGGAGCTGGGTTTTCCATGGGGGAGGGGGTTAGAACTGGATGAGCTTTAAGCTCCTTTCCAACCAAATTCCCTGATTTTATGATCCTATGACTCTAATTTTCAAATATATGAAATTTGGGGATTATTTTTATCCTTCACCAGTTTCTTTGGTCCTTGGGGTTTATCCCACAACTTCAGGAAAAGCCTTAACTCCAAAGGGGAAATGCCCAAAGAAAGCTGGAAAATCCAGTGGTTCAGCTGAGACACAAAAGCTTTACAGGAGCTGCTGAACCAGCCAAGTAATTCCAAAGCATTTTTCCGGAATTAAAGGCAACTCCAGGCTCCTTCCCAGGAATTAATCCAGGCTGGTGGACCCCATCTGGACTGGGGAAGTTGTATTTTCCAGGCTTTTCCTGCTGAATTCAGGCAGAATTCCCGAGGCTGGGCTGAGGTTTTGGGGGCTGAGCTGTCATTCCCAATCCCTCCGTGCAGGGAACGCTTTAAATCCTTTGGAATGAGCCCCGAGAGCATCTGTGGGAACAATTAAAATCTCCAGGAAATGAATTTTTAAGCGGCCAGGGAAATAGTTTGGGAATGAAGGTGATGTTTCCTGGGAAAGCTTCCATTTTGTGTCCACCCTCTGGAGTGGAAACCAAACCCCCAGAATCCCGTGGGATTAGGGGTCTGGAACATTCCCTCTCCCATCTCTTGCTCTAACTCTCCAAGTCCCCTCTGGAATTGTTGGACTTGTCAAACTCCTCGTCCTTCCCGGGCTTTTCCAGGCTTAGCTGCCCCTGGAATGTGTGTTTTGAGAACAACAACAACACTCCTGGTCCCAGGGAATGAAGTTCTCCTGCCGGGATTTCAATCCATAACCTCTCCAACATTCCCACCACCTGTTCCTGGGAGTTTTGGTGTTTAAAGGGGAGGGATTTTGATGTTTTTCCTTCTCATGGAAGCAGCTGGAGTTGGGAATTGGGAGGGACAGATGGAGTTAAGATGATGGAAATTAAAAAGCCTTAATGTGGGAATTTTGCATGTTTAGGAGTCTGGATTAAATCCTGGGGGAAAAAGCAGATTTATTCCCAACCTCCTGTTTCCCTGGAAGTGCTGGATGGTCTCGGACAGGGATTTGAAGGAGAAAATCAGGATTATTTTGCCGTTGGAACTATTGGATATTGATTATCCCGGGGTTCAGGCTCGGTTTAAAAATTCCAGGGACGTTGGGAAGGAAGGGAAGGCGTTGGCAAAAATTCCCAGCTTTTTTGGAAACCTTAATTTCCGGCCTTTGGGAATTCCTCACATCTGGAGCTTGTTCTTGGCTGGGTTTAATTTGTTTGGAATGACATTGCAGCAGGAAAAATAGGGAAGGAGGTCTGGATGGAGCAATTAGGGATGTGCCAGAGGGAAGAGCAGCACAGGAGTTCTTGGCATTGGCTGCACACTTTATTTTATATATATATATATATTTATTTCATCTTATATATTTCTCTATGCTTTTATATTTTATACTTTTATATATTTTATGTGTTTTTATATATTTTATATGTTTATATCTTTTAGATTTTTATATCTTTTATGTATTTTTATATGCTTAAATATTTTCAATATATTTTTATCTTTTTAAAATAACCTTAATATATTTTTAATATATTTTTAGATATATTTTATATCTGTTTAGACATATTTTATATTTTTCTATTATATTTTTAAACTAGTTCAGACATATTTTATATTTTTCTATTATATATTTAAATTAATACATAATATATATATTTTATATGGTATCTAATATCTACACATCTTTATGTAGGATATAATATTATCTTTTTAACAAACTATATTTAATGTATTATTTTGAAATATAATTTTATCTTTCATTTTCTTTATATTTGATATAGAACATGATTTTAGCATCTCCTAACAGAGTGTTTTGTGTCTCTATTCCAGCCCTTTGGATGCTCTGTGATAGTAATAATTTATAATAATGATATAATAATAATATATATAATAATAACAATAATATCTCCTTTGGACCTTCTGGAAATAAGGCATCAAATGTGCTTTCCAGCCCTTAAATAAGGCCTCCAATAAGTCAGTAAATGTGCTTTAAACCCCTTCCAGAAGTCCCTCCATAGGTCCTTAAATGTGCTTTAATGTTTATTAATCCAGAGCCTGTTCCTGGTGGATTCCAGGTTGGATTCCAAGCTCCAAACCCTGAGGAATTGGGCAGGTTCTGCTACTAAACCAGACCTAAGCAAGCCCAGCCCAACCATTCCCTGTCAAACATTAACCTGGAGCTGGGAATGTTCAGCCTTTACAGAGTGGAGGGGAGGCCTCTTTGCTCTGGGAAAAACTCTCCTTACAAGGAATTTTTCCTGGGAAATCCAACCTTTCTCCCTAAAACCCCTGTGGTGCCGTTGGATGGCAGGGATTTTCTTGCCCTGGGGGGGTATTATGGGCTGTCCCAGCCCCTTGTCCCTGCCCTGCCACCAGCAAAGCTCTGCCCCTGGTTTGCCACCCGTGTCCTTCCCAGAAGGTGACATTCCTGAATTTTTTCTTTATTTTTTTTTCCAAAAGGACTTGGCAGGAAGGGTTTGGGATCAGTTAATAATTAGCTGAACTAACAAGTCCCTCTGGGAAACCTGCAGTGACCCAGGAGCTGCTCCAGGCCCACGTTCTGGGCAGGCTCTGCTCTCCCTGCTCCTGCTTCAGGAGGTGCCAGGGATGTTGGGAATTCCTGCACTTCAAATCCTCTTTTCTCTTCCCACCATTCCCACTTTGGCAGAGCCTCTCTGAGGATAAATCCCCGTGGAAGAGGCCCAGGAGCCAGCTGGAGGCTGGAAGTGCTTCTGTGTCCTCCCTGAGGAATCTGGGAGCTGTGGGAGCAGTTTCTCCAAGGTGGTGTTTTCCCTCCTGGCTGGGTTTCGAGCTCCTGGGTGGCAAAAGCAGGAATTCTGCGCTGCACCCTGGAAAGCTGGAATTCCAGAGTGTTCCATGCCTGCTGACACAGAGGTGGCTGCAGGAGTGAGGGAGGACTTGGGTGAGGAAAGAGGGACTTTGGACAAGGGCCTGGAGGGACAGGAAAAGGGGGAATGGCTTCCCACTGCTAGAGGGCAGGGAGAGATGGGATATTAGGAAGGAATTCCTGGCTGTGAGGGTGGGGAGGCCCTGGCACAGGTTGCCCAGAGAAGCTGTGGCTGCCCCTGGATCCCTGGGAGTGTCCAAGGTCAAGTTGGAGCAACCTGGGATAGTGGCAGGTGTCCCTGGGGGTGGGACTGGATGAGCTTTAAGGTCTCTTCCCACCCCACCCATCCCAGGATTCTGTGATTCTTTGGCTCCAGCACCATCTTCCCTGAAAACAAAGAGGGAAGAGGTCACACCCCCTCTGGAACCAGGTGCCCTTTAAGGTCCCTTCCCACCCGAACCATCCCAGGATTCTGGGATTCTCCAGGAAGTTTCCAGGCACCACTTTCCCTGGAAACCACAGGAAGTCAAACCCCCCTCTTTGCATCTGTGGGAGCTTGGAATGCAGAGCCTGGAAGTGCTGAGCTGGGCACTCCCCCCCCCCAACGCTGACAATGTTAGTGCTGAAAATGTTGACTCGGAAAAGCCTCTTTCCTTTCACTTTTCAGCAGCTCTGCAGCCCAGAACTGCCGGGAATGGCTTGATCCTGCACGAGGCAATGGATCCTGCTGAATGTGGGCAGGGAAACGGGATCATCAGCAAATCCATTGTCAGAGTTTCATTCCCAGCTGGGGCTCACCAGGGTTTTTTGGCAGGGATGGTGCCGGTCGCTGAAAGGAAAAAAATTCCCCCCAAAAGCCCACCTGGGAGGGAATTCTGCTTGTGGAGCCACGTCTGTCAGTGCTTTGAGGGTATAAATTGAAATAAAATAAGTAAGACCCAGCAAAAAAAGGCACAGGAGATATTAAATATGTGTTAAATACCGTGTTAGGAGATCGTGGAATCATGGAATGGGTTGGGAGCTTAAGGATGATCTTGTTTCACCCCCAGGGACACCTTCCACTAGCCCAGGTTGCTCCAAGTTCATCCAGGGCTGGGATTTGCTCGTCACCATCTCATTATTCTGCAGATCATTGGGGAGGTTAAATTTGAAGCAGTGTAAGATTTGAGTGGTTTTGGCTCTCTGGAGGAAGAGCTTTCACCAAAATGAAGATGTTTTTACCAAAAATACAATGAACTCTTTAAATGTTCCGATTGAAGCCTCCAACAGTCCCCAGGCTGAAGGAACATCCCCACTGGATGCAGATTCCCTGGACGGGTTCCCTTTTGGAGCTCCCTGAGCAGCCTCTTGGCTCAGCTGCTCCCACAGACAGGAGGGTCAGGAGGGAGGATTTGGAAGCAGCACGACCTGATTTCCCTCTCCACTGAGCACAGAGAGGAAAACTCCAGTGTCTGAGGAGACTGAGCCCTGGGAATGTCAGCCCTGGGGGATCCATGGGGAACACGAACCAGGCAGGGCTGGAAGCAGAAGAACCAGGAAGGTTCTGGAAGGAAGACCAGGCTGGATGAACTTGGAGCACCTGGGCTGGTGGAAGGTGTCCCTGCCCAGGGCAGGGGGTGAGACAGGATCAGCTTTAAGTTCCCTTCCAATCCAAGCCATTCCAGGATTCTGTGATCCTTGGAATTGGGTTCATCTTTCAGAATGATCCTGAG